AGCACGACTAGACATGGAATGCCGTTACCTTCCCACCGTGGTGGTACCTATTTATCTACTCGCATTTTCCATGCTTTTGAACTGCTAGGTTGGCAGGACCTGGGACAAGCGATGGGAATGTGGATTCGATCTTACGACGGCTGGTCTTCTGACCTTGCAGCACAGAGGCTTCTGTGGTTTAACCTGCAGCGCCAACAAATCCCTTAGAGATGTGGGTACTGTATTTGTATTCACATATGGATGTGAATATCCCCATGCAGCTCCCCCCATGCAGGGAGACTCATCCTGCCTCCCCCAGCCTGGAGTGGCTAGTCGAGTGGGAAGAAAGCGGCACTCCAGGAGCAATAGTAAGGATGAGCAAGAGCACCGCCGCAGCAGAACACTTCGTTAAATCCAGATGCGCAGGATATTCGTATACGAATTGAAGATTTAAAACCTCTATGGGTCAGACCACTACCTATTTAGTCAGAAATCCTATTTCTTACAGAGATGAACTGCTCTCCTGGGAATTTGGGTTCATGATTGGCAGACCCAAGAGAGAAGGCCCTTTTCATTGAGGCTCCGTTACTATGCTGTGCCCCAGGGTATGCACAGGACTCCCTCCCTCACATGACTCTTGAAGATCTCTTTGCTCCAGGCTGCTTTTAAAGGGAGGCAAGCCGTTCTTGTTCAGTTTGATAGTTATGGCTGTAGCTATTTTAAATGTTTTAGTGTTATTTTAATGTACTTGTCTTTTATATTGTTTTAACTTCTCAATCTGTAGGCTGCCTTTGGGTTTGCCTTAAAAGGAGGTACAGAAACAATGAAAAGAGTGGATAAATAAAATATTTCTCCTTCTTGTTGTCCAGCAGCTGGCGTTCAGTGACCTAGGGCCTCTGAGCAAAGGAGGTACAGAAACAATGAAAAGAGTGGAAAAATAAAATATTTCCCCTTCTTGTTGTCTGGCAGCTGGTGTTCAGTGACCTAGTGCCTCTGAGCAAGGGTTCCTTAGAACCAACATGAGTATGCATATGATGCCTTGTTTTCTCTATTTACTCCACGGCAAGCAAAGAGAGATTATGAACAAACGGGATTTTGTGAGAGATGGAGCTTGAAAAGTTACTCTTAAAGTAATTTATTACAGTTTTAAGTATCTTTCCTTAAATTTGTTGCAGTTTTGAATGTTGTTTGAATTCATCAGACTGCACAGTAGGAAGTGCAGGGATTCACACAGCAGAATAGCTTCAAGTCCCCCAGAGTACTGTACCCCCTTTTCTCATCAACTGGCACTTACAGTCTCAATAATTCACTCTTGAGACTTTAGTGGTAGGAAGAGTTTAAAACCATTTTCTTTACTTACAGTTCTTAACAGATCAAACAGCAAACATGAGCTTCAGCAAGAGGTCTCAATAGAGGTCTCCGGAAAGGGGAAGAATCAGCAGAGAGGTGAGGCTGTCTTTGAAATCAGAGGCGGGGGGGGAACAATTGGTTAGTCCTGGATAGATTGACAGCCACCCCAGCCCAGAAAGGCTCCTCCCAACCAAACCTGCTAGAGGCAGCAACTGAGGTTGTGAAAACTCCAGCAATATCTAAATATCATTGTGGTTGCCTTTTTTTTAAAGTCACATTTTCTTGCTATTGTAAAATGATACAAGTTCCTGACTAGTGGTAGAGATCACACCTGAGCAGGCCATTCCCCTACACCTCCACACACTGTTTCATTGCAAAAGACATAACTCAATTATCCTTCCATTATTTCAGAAAGGACTGAATGAGGAGTCTCATTTTTACTACATGTTTTCTGCCATCTTTAAGGATGTGACTCTCTACACCTGTTATCCTGGCGGCAGTCTTGCAAGGCTGGTGATTCACAGGGGTGGTGTCCCACCCAGGGCCATGGGGTGAACGTTGTCATTTAGGACAGGTTTGTGCCTGCTTTTTTTTCAGACTGTAATCCAGCCCTGGAACCATTGACTGCGCTGGCTTTGTGCACTTTGTGTTAGTGCATCTCCGTGCAGCGGCTGAGGTTTCCTGGAAAGAGTTCCTTTTAGCGCGTATCAGAATAAGTGGTTACCATCGTCCAGAGAGTCTCTGTCGTTTTGCACCATGCACGGTGCAAGTGGCTCTTGCCTAGAGACAAGATATAGTGTCCTCTGCGGTCTGGTGGTTTTGCTCTATCTCTGCGAGTCGTTGGGTGAATCTGTTGCACCCGGTGCAGAAGCATGAGTGAAATTTACCCAGTGCATCATCCAGAGATGCAATGGGAGGTGTCTCCCAGGCAAGACCTGAAGTGCATAGTTTCGAAACCGTTACACAGGAAATAGGAAAAGCAAAGCAAAGCAAAAGCAAAGCGTGCTGCTTATATACTGCCCCATGGTGTTTCAAGCACACTCTGGGCAGTTTACAAGTTAATTATGCAGCCTACACACCCCCCCCCCCCAGCGAGCTGGGTACTCATTTTACCAACCTCGGAAGGATAGAAGGCTGAGTCAACCTTGAGCCGGTACCTGGGATTGAACCCCAGGTCAGGAGAACATTTTTGGCTGCAGTACAGTGGTTTAACCACTGTGCCGCTCATTTTACCAACCTCGGAAGGATAGAAGGCCGAGTCAACCTTGAGCCGGTACCTGGGATTGAAGCCCAGGTCGGGAGCGCATTTTTGGCTGCAGTACAGCGGTTTAACCACTGCGCCATGAGGCTCATGACCAAGGAAGCTGCTTAATCAGACAGTTAGTCCATCTCTCCCTGTAATGTCAGCACTGACTGGTATCATCTCTAGGGTTTCAGGAAAGATCCTTCTCCAGCTCTAGCAGATCTCAGGGATAGAACCCGGGATCTTCTGCATGGAAAGCACAAGATCTACCACTACCCTACTCCCCTGCCACCTCCTTTTATACCACCTGTGATGAGACTTTGGCATCCCTTAGCTTAGTCGCACAGAGCCTTTGCAGATGAAACAGAAAAGAGAGGAATATATTTGCAAGCAGCAGGTGCTGCTCTGGAAGATGCTATCTCATTTCCTTTAGGAAATGGGAATGCCCAGAATTGCAGCGGTCAGTCTGCAAAGATTAGTGGGCTAATGGTCCAGACAGAGACTTTGAGATAGTTCACACATGCACTCATTTATTTTATTTATTCTTCTATGCCGCCCATCTAGACAGTGTCTGCTCTGGGTGGCTCCCAGCAAATAGAATAATCACAATTGAAAAATAACAGCAATGTCTCAAAGATAAACAGTCATTCAAGATGGAGGAAAAAGAATAGATTAAGTGGTGGCCTGCTTTTGGACTACTCCAAATTGCCTCTAGTTACCAAGTTGCCACTTGTACTCCTTATCACATACCAAGTCACATGACTGCTAGATAATAAATACAGGCAGTGACTCCTATAATCATCATCATCATGTGTTGTCAAATCAATTCAGACTTACTATGATCCTTTCCAGGCTTTTCCAGAATCCTTCTGTGCAGCTATCCCATGACTACAAAGGCTGGCTGTTCTCCCAGGAAGCACAGTGGGGGAATCAAACTCCCAAACGCGGCTTCCACAGCCAGATATCCAAACCACTGAGCTATCCAGCCAGTTTCTGCATGTGATTGTTGTTATGCGTCATCAAGTTGCTTCTCACTCTTGGTGACCATAATTAGAGTTAGGGAGTAAACCTACCCTCTCCACTTATCATCCCCACTCCCCACCCATCCTATGAGTTTCTTTGACTGGGTAGGGATTTGAACCCAGGTCTCTTGAGTATTTATCCCCCACTTTATGTGCCATCCGAAGGGGAACCATGCTCCAGAAATACATTGTTCCTGTATATCAAAGTACAGGGTGTGCCTCGCTTTCACCCTCAAGCTCCCCATATGTAGGATGCTTTAAAAAGTGTGTGTGTGGGGGGGTGACTTTCACTCTCTCCCAGATTTGGCTGGTTGCATCAAGCACCTGTGATCCACACCTTCGGTAAGTTTCAGATTTAATTTGCAACCAGGATCCAAGGGTCTGCAAAAGCTAGTAGGAGCCTCTTGTGGGGTTGCATGTGACCAGTGCATTGTCTATGATCTGTTCAGGTTTTCTGATGACTTTGCGGAGAGCAAGTCCGCAAACACAGGGACTGATGTTCTTCTGGCCCTGGCATTTCATTAGCCATTCAAAGATCAGGCTTCATGCAGTACAGTGGTGCCTCGCTTAATGGGCATACCGTTTAACTACGAATCCGCATAGCGATCTGTTTTTTTCAGATCGCTAATGCGATCACATTGCAATGTTTTCAATGGCAAAACATCGCATCGCAATGTTTTTTTAAACAGCTGATCGGTGGTTCCAAAATGGCTGCCGGACACCCAAAATGGCCGCCGCAACCATTTTTGCGCCCTGCCCTCACTTACCGAGGGCGCGAAAATGGCGGCGCTATGGAGGAACTTCGCTGAACGGTTAGTTTGGGGCCCCATAGGAACCCATTAAACGAATTTGGGGCCCCATAGGAACGCATTAAACTTGTTTTTTGATCCGTTTAGCGATGTTTTAGCATAACGACGATTAATCTGGAACGGATTAACGTTGCTATGCGGGGTACCACTGTATCTTGAGAATTTGTTGGATGGAGAAAGTGCATACTAAAGCGAAGGAAGAAAAGACCGAGAAATCAGAAATTACAGAAAGCTAGAATGTAGTGGAAGACAGGAGGCAGTGGAAGACAGGAGGGCCTGGCATGCTCTGGTCCATGGGGCCACAAAGAGTCGGACACGACTTAATGACTAAACAACAACAAGAATGCTTCAGTGACATATTGAGCAGAAAGAAGAAACAGTCCATTTGAATGACTGTTTCATTTAGCAAATGCAAATTTAGTCCTTGAACTCTGGTAATAGCATGGTGGCCGAAGCCAGATGCTAATTGACAACTGGAATTCCAGGAACAACGTTGTTTCTCATATGATAATTCTTAAGTTGCACTGAATTTGTATACAAACATATGATCCATTTTGTTTCTTGTGTCAGTAAGCTTGAACGCTCTCTTCTTTGCAGCTGAGAAATACCGTTTGGCAATGAAATGCTTCCAAGATGTAGAGGAGGGGAGAAAATGGAATCCTGTCCTAGAGAGACGGTGGAAAACTAATCAAGGGCTGCAGAAAGAGGAAAGGAAGGAAGAATGTCTGAATGCTATCAAAACTGAGCAAAAGATCTTGCAAGGTGGAACATGAACATTTTGGAGGCCAGGAAGAGACACCAGGGAGTGAGTATTTTTCTTGCAGATAAGAAGCTTGACTATTTCCTTGCCATTTCCAAAGAGAGATAGGGCCTCTGTAGTAGCTCCTCTGGAAATTTAGATGTATTTCGTTCATCAGCTGTAGGCCTGTATTTGTCATGTATTTTTCCTTTGCTTTTCCTCTGAGGATTTAAAGCCATGTGCCTATTCTGATGATAACCCTGTGATCCATGTTAGACTGAAAGAATGCTTTGGGGTAGAGAACTACTGGTGAGTTTTAAAAGCAGTCTGGAAAAATTTGGAGTGTGGGCCTCCTGAATCCCAGCCTGTTTACTATTCCACCCCATTTCTCTGTGAGTTGAATATCTCACAGTGAGAAGGCAGTCAGTTATTGGATCTCATATTTGATCGAGTTCAGTAGTCCCCAGATGTTCTTGGATTACAACTCCCAAAGAGCTGGCCGAAACAGCTAGTGGTGAAGGCTTCTGGGAGTTTTAGTCCAAGAACATCTGGGGACTCAAGGTTGGGAACCACTGTTCTAGTTCTTGAGGCCAGACATAGTAGATCTGGGTCCCATCTTCCAACCAGGAATTCTGAAAGTCTGGAACCTAAATTGCTGCATTATTGACCCAATAGTTCTCCTTACCCATTTTGGGGCAAAGCTGTGCTAGAACCTTCACCCCATCCGTACTGCTCTTCTGATGTTAAGACTCATACTTTGTGTGAAGATTGAACTAGTTTTTTACAAGGGGCAACATTTGAAAAGGAGAATCCACACCTGTGGTCTGAAGCAATATGATTTGCTTCCAGTTGGATTGCACAAGGTTGCTTGTCATGTCCAACAAAGGTGTGGTCCTCCAGGTGTTGTTGGACTACAACTCCCATAAGGCATAGCTGTCAAGGCCAGTGGGGGAGGGAATTCAACAGCATTGGGAGGCTCACACATTCCCTATCTGTATTTCACAGTAAATCTAATGGGCCATTAGCTTTACCTTCACTCTCTGAATAGCCGCAGAACTTGGCATTTGTGACACAGGGCTTTGTGACTTGGTAAAAAGCAGCATTGCTGGGTGTGCGTGGCTTTGCACTACGTGACTTAACATACAGCTGTGTTGTAACTGCAGTTCTCCATAGCCTCCGTTAGCTGTTGAAGATCAGGTTGCCCGTGATCCCAAAGCATTTTGCACTGCAAAGTCCTCCCTGTTGTGAAGCTTAAAGTGCAGCCATGTAGCTCAAAGGTTAATGGGTTCACATGTTGTCCATCAAAGAAACAGCCCGTCATGGCGGATCATAGCAAATGGTTCTGTGCTGAAGCCATTGAGCAGTTAATAGCTTTTGGTGTCTGTAAGGAAGTACAGTAAGTGCTTTCTGTATGGACTGAGGCTACTGGGCAGATGGAACACAGTGGAAATCTCAACTACTTTGGTATAGAGGGGAAGAGATCAAAATGGAATAAATCCAGCTATCTGTGCAGGTTTTCTGATGACTCTGCAGAGACTCCTTCTCTACTTCCTTTTTACCTGCATGTTAGATACAGGATCAAAATGTGGAAGAAAATACATATTTCTTGAAGATACAGGATCAAAATGTGGAAGAAAATACATATTTCTGGATCAATGCTCTCTCTCTCGCTCTCGTTCTCTCTCTCGCTCTGTGTGTGTGTGTGTGTGTGTGTGTGTGTGTGTGTACGTGTATAATTGAGCCAGCATCATTACTACATGCCTTGGGTTGAATTCCTTTAAACGTTTGTCCTAATCAATTTTGATTTTTGTTCAGCAGCATCAAAATGTGGAAGAAAATACATATTTCTGGATCAATGCTCTCTCTCTCGCTCTCGTTCTCTCTCTCGCTCTGTGTGTGTGTGTGTGTGTGTGTGTGTGTGTGTGTACGTGTATAATTGAGCCAGCATCATTACTACATGCCTTGGGTTGAATTCCTTTAAACGTTTGTCCTAATCAATTTTGATTTTTGTTCAGCAGCATCTGATGGATAACATTTGCCCTCTTGTGTTAATATGAACACATCTACAGTCGTTGTTTTACTATGTTGTGAACCACCCAGAGTGGCCTTGGTAGCCAGATGGGTAGTATAGAAATTGAATGAATGAATTTCAGCAAATACACAGAGGCAGTGCTCTGGAATTTCCTATAGTAGTATAGAAATTGAATGAATGAATGAATTTCAGCAAATGCACAGAGGCAGTGCTCTGGAATTTCCTATGCTATTTCTGTCATTCCAGACAGGGTGGATTATAAACTGCTGGATAGCTCAGTGGTTTAGGTATCTGACTTCAGAGCCAGAGGTTGGGAGTTCAATTCCCCACTGTGCCTTCTTGATAGGGGCTGGACTTGATGATCCATAGGGTCCCTTCCAGCTTTGCAGTTCTAAGATGATGATGATGGTGTGTTATTCTTCAGCAGTAATCAGTTCTAGTGTCCCTACCAGCTGGAGAAGAGGGGGCGGGGTAAATAGATGTGTTAACGATAAGAGGGGGAGTGGTGAACCAATATTCTAGATTTCTCTGTTCAGCCTATACAGCTAGGAAAACTCAGTCTAAATAGAATGATTTTGGTAAAATGAACCTTGTTTTCAAAATGTGCCTCTTTAGATTGTTTTGGCTTGTTGGCTTGATCTAGCAGGGATCTTTTTTATATTCTTAAAATTTCAGTTGACTGGTTGGGAGCAGGGACAACAGGGAAAGGGAAATAGACATTTAAAGTGTGACTTGATTCCATGGGGCCACCTGAGCTTTGTTGCCACTCAAGGTAGGAAGCGAGAAGAAATGGACCAGGCAATAGTAGCAGGTGAGACGTCTAGCAATGGCACCATCACCTGATACTACCCGAAAATTTGTCAGGTTACCTCTCTTATAGAGGCCTCGGGATCAAACCTTCCTGTGTTAGTGGAGGAGGAGAGAAACTGCTGGTCCTCATGAATGGGTAGCCTTCTCCTGGAAATCCAACTTTGTGATGGCATGCAATACTGGTCCAGTAGAATGCTTGGCTCCTCTGCCCCACCATTGCCTCTTGGAAATTGCCTTCAGGTTGTTTTTCAACTCTCCGGAGGAGGTTTCTGGGGTGCATCAGGAGATGCTATGCGGAGAAAAAGAGACTTCCACCTCCTGATCCCACTGGCAGAAGCAGATTTATCAGTGGAGTTACTCCTGCTGACCTTGGCCAGCATTCCTTTCGTGGGAGAGGTGACTTAAGGAAACCACAGTTCTATGGAACCATCTTCGTAAAACCTGAATAAAACATACTTTGCTCATTTACTTGCTGGCTTTGTGTTTTTCTGCTGATGCAAACAGTGCAGTTAGATTGTAGGTATAATCGGATGTATCAATAAACCGTGACCTTTGCTTTTGTGGAGAGGGAACTGTTCAAGATATGGTTTGTTGTGTGCTGTATATAAGACACCCACTGCTAGCACCAGGAAAGCAGTTTATTATGAAATTGTAGATCGTTGTCTGATACCGACAAGATTTGCCACTTCCTTACTGATTAGACTAAGTCCATCAGTTGCAGAACCAGATGCTTTGTGAAAAAGACAGAGACCTTTTTTTCCATGTAAACCCTTTCTGAGGAGGGTTTCTGTGGGGTGTTGTCAGAACTTGGAAATGTTAACAGGCCTTTTTGGGCAGAAACTCCCACAGCTTCTGGCTGCGTAATGACAAGCCATGAAAGGACTAAAGCAGCTTTTTGTAACGCCACTGTGGCAGAACAACTGAGGGATGAACTTAAATGGGTCAGTTTCTAGTGTCCGCTGTGCCATGAAATGGGTAACCTTAGGCCTGACTGTCTATCTTTCAGTCTGACTACCTCACAGGGTTGTTGGGATGATGGAAGAGAACCTTGGAGAAGAAAAAGGACATAAGCATCTTTGAAATTTAAGTGATAAATATCAGTGGTGGATAATCTTTGACTTTCCAGGTGTTTTACCCGACTGCTCCTGTCAGCTCTCCTCTCCGGCATGACCAGCGGTAAAGGATTGCAGGAATTGGGATCTAATAGAGCCATTCTCAATGGAGGCCATATGGCCACGTTGGGGGGGGGGGCTGGCACATTTGAAGGGGGCCACAGACTGGAAGCAGTTCTTCACACACCACCTTATAAAACTTATAAATTCTCAATTCAGCCAGTATTTCTGTCATACAGTGGTGCCTCGCTTGACAATGTTAATTCATTCCAGCGAAATCGCTGTAGAGCGAAAATGTCGTCAAACAAAATAAAAAACCCCATTGTAACTNAGATCCTCCACACGGCAGCCATTTTTGGTGCCTGTAAAGTGAGGAATCCATCCTAGAAAACAGCAGGGGGCCATTTTCTTCAGCCGGTGGCCATTTTTAAACCCAACGATCAGCGTGGGTTTGGTAAAGCGAAAATCAGTTCCCGAAGCAGGGAACCAATCATCGCACAGTGAAAAAAGCCCATTTAAAACATCGTTTTGCGATCGCAAAAGCGATCGAAAAAAATCAACATAATGCAGATTCGTTGTAGAGCGGGGTAATCATCCAGCGGGGCACGACTGTACTGTGTTTCTGGCCATGACCAAAAAAAGATTGAGAATGACTGGTGTAAAATACCTGAAGGTTGTCCTATCCTCCTCTCCCTCCCGTTATATCGATTTGTGCTGATGCTTTATTATGGCTTCATATTTCTATGTCCCCTAGATCAGTGGTCTCCAACCTTGGGCCTCCAGATCTTCTTGGACTTCAACTCCCAGAAATCCTGGCCAGCAGAGGTGGTGGTGAAGGCTTCTGGGAGTTGTAGTCCAAGAACATCTGGAAGCCCAAGGTTGGGGACAACTGCCCTAGATTATTCTGTATTTGATCGAGTTGAGCTTCCATCACAGAAAGCTTGGAAGCTGGGGCTTTACTTTAGGAGAGTTCTGTGTTTTTTTAAAAAATAACATTGACGAGGATTAGGGAGCAGGGTAGTAGAGCTTATTTTGGGTGGGAAGAATGAAAAATATTCTCGGTTAATAGGGTTTCAGAAGAAAACAAATGAGCCCTTCAAGATAATTGAGGC